GTGTATTAAAGAAAGACCTTATACAGCTTATAATTTTTTTAAAACAAGGATCATAACATTCATCGAGTGATTTGTTGGTTAATGCACCTTTAAAATTTTGTTAGCTAAGACATTTCGCTATTTTATATCAGTAACTTTACAATTATATATATATATATATATATATATATATATATATATATATATATATATATATATATATATAAGCAAATATATGGATATAGATCCGACATTATGAAAGAAAAATACAGAAAAAACAAACAAAAATCTTATTTCAGTTATCTGTTTGGATTAGTTGTGCTCTTATGTCCATCGTCTTTTGTGTTAAATTTTTATATGTTCTAATGTGAATTATGTTTAAATGAAAATGTCCTGAAGATGGTCTTAAATAGACCGAAACATCCGACGTTGACTTTATATTAACATTAATACAGCATAATTGCATATTAAGATTTTTGTTTGTTTTTTCTGTATTTTTCTTCATATATATATATATAATTATTTTTTATAAAAAAAATTATAACATAAGTATGTTATAAAATCACTACAAAAATAGCCATTTTGTTTCAACACACTCTGTGTCTTATCAAGTGATGATGTTGAAAAAAAAAAAACATCATCACTTGATAAGACACAGAGTGTGTTGAAACAAAATGGCTATTTTTGTAGTGATTTTATAACATACTTATGTTATAATTTTTTTTATAAAAAATAATTATATCTGCTCTACTTTGTATTCAGCACTCTTTTAAGAATAGTAATTGTTGGTTATTGGAATTCATTACGTATATACCAATTATATACTTGGGTATATATATATATATATATATATGATTGTGGGATGAAAACTGAAGGAGCGTTGCTAAAGCTGTGAAATATTGCATAGATTAATTTCAACATTTTTTTTAATCAGAACTGCATTGTTTCTTTACAGGTAAACTGATATCTAATTATTCAAAGAAGACTGCTCACTCTGTTAGTGAAATAAGTCATCAACAAAAAATATGACGTCGCAGTCACTGGTGAAACTGGTTCTCAGCCAAGTGCTTTTTCATGCTGAGGAACACATGATAGACAGATCAGAAGAATTAAGGGAAGGAAGAGCTAGAGGACAAAAGAACTATTTATCTGATATGTATGAATCATTATAATAGTAATGAACTGGAGGGAATAGAATGAGGACAAATTTGCGGACAGGAAGATGTGGAGAGACATAATCATATGTATTCTGTAGTAAAATCATATCAATGAAGATATATATTCAGTGATAGAAAAAAACAAAACAAATAAAAACAACGATATAACAACATATTTCCCTAACCCTAAAAAATAGATGTACATTCAGAATCTTTAAGCCATAAAACCATATTTCGACCACCTATCAGAAAACGTCTTGACCAAAATACAAACATCCTGCTCTAGCAAGCGAATCAGAAACGAAAAGTTAGGCAACCCAGTATACAACCAATCAAGGAAATATGGTGATTTTCTAAGCGTAGTATAGATGTGGTACAAGGCCGAAAATATGGGGAACACAGTGAGGATCAAACTCACTTTTCAGTGGTAATTGATGTAGCAAGACCAGGTTGCTAAATAATACACCACGTTGAATTGGCTTGAAATGATTTTCTACTCGTAGCATAGATGTGGCACAAATTCGAAAGTCTGGGGCACCCAGTGAGGATCGAACTCGGTATTTATCCGAACTCCCCTCAGAGCGGGATGAGGAGCAAGGCCGGTTTAACGTGGGGTTTTTCGAGCCCGTACGCCCGCGAAAATATTCCCCGTATACCCCATAATAACGTTGTTGGGTTTGTCTATCTCCCCAGACGAGATTCTGCCCTTCGTCATAGACTCGTCCGGGTTCCTTTCTGCCCAAAAGCAGAGAGTTCGACAAGCAATAAGAGCTAAGCGTGCAGCTAAGACCCAATTCTAACTCTCAAATACAGTGTTTTCTAAGCGCAGGTTAGATGTGGCACAAGTGAGGATTGAACTCACTACTCAGGATTATGACGGGTCACAATTTATAACCTGCAAAGTACTGAAAAGAACTCAGCGGCTTGCACATCTACAGACTGATGCTGATATTTAAGAATTTATTTCAGGAAAATTGTGTACTTTATTACAAAAGAATGATTGATACTTTACTTATTTGTAAGTTCCTCGATCTGACTATTGGTATTTTAAAATTCTTGGAACTGCTATCGAGAAACATTGCGTTACGTTGATAGAAACAAATAATGCCTGAAAAATCTGAATTTTCCAAGTTTCCTTGGTAAAGAAACGACTCAGAGATCTAAACCTATATTTTCTTCGGCCTTGCAATTAAATTCAAACCAATGTAATAGCTTCATGAAATAGTCGAACAAAAGGAACACAAAGCTGAAGATACACATGAATTATAGGATGTAAAAGATTTGCTGTTTAAAATGAAATAAAAGAAGACAGCAAAAATAATTTAAAAAGATCTCAGAATTTGAAGTGGTTGATAATCACATCAATCGATTGTGTTTTTTTGTTAATTCTTTGATTTAAAATATATTTGCTGACAATGAGACGATGAGATATCAAGTAACACATAAAATCAAAACAGTGTCGCTTAAATAAGTTTTAGGGATATACTTATATTTATATGCAGTAAACAAATATTGGACTTGTATCTACTAGTTTGTACTGTCAAACCGACTTTCGTAAGTATCCTGTTTAAGTATAGACGTAGGAAAATGCAACACTAAGATCTGAAGACGCATTTTCAACGTAAGTTGTCCCAATGCGTAATTACTACTGCTGTACGTTTTACAGACAGTGTTTTGCGGTCTTTTTCGTTTTGTTTGAATCGAATCCTCGTCGCCACTGTTGCATCCTTAACAAGGTTACAAACAGACAAAGGTGGTAATCGAGTGGAAGGAACAGCAACACGGGCGTAGATGGAAGAAAGAGGTTTATTGTAAAAGAGAATACACTACTGAAAGACAGGGAAATCGACGAACACTTCTCGAAGCCAGTTAGACAGATAGACAGTCAGACAGACTATGTATGTCCTACATATATTACTGATTGTCAGTCCACAATAGGTAATCGGGAGAGTGGAACATTCCATTACAACAAAATTCAAATAAAACAAGACAGCGAAGACAATTTGAAAAGATCGAAGAACTTGAAGTGGTCGATAATCAAATCAATCGATTGTTTTGGTTGTTTTGTTAATTCTTTGATTTAAAATATATTTGCTGACAATGTGACGACGAGATATTAAGTAACACTTATAAAATCAAAACAGTGTAGCTTAAATAAGTTTTAGGGATATTTTTATATTTGCATGCAGTAAACAAATATTGGACAAATGGACTTGTATCTACTAGCTTGTGGTTGTCAAACCGACTTTCGTAAGTATCCTGTTTAAGTATAGACGTAGGAAAGTGGAACACTGAGATCTGAAACGCGCATTCGAATAGTAAATTTGTGTGTTCTGTCAAATTGGCACCCGACAATTTGATTGGTCAAATAGATTAAGGTGATATTTAAAGAAAATATGTATTTAAATATAAAAGAACGATACCATTTTTTGATTGATTCGCTGAAATCTTCGAGCTGATTATTGATATTCTGAAACTGTTCGAACTGATCCCCGCAAAACATTGCGTTGGAACGGGAGAAACAAATAACAGAAGTCTAAACTTATCTGAGGTGTAGATGGTATTTGTATCTAAATTCAGTGATCATTTCCTGTGGCATTTTCAACTGATATCGGTTTTTATTGGCAAAGAAAAGGCTCAAATATATAAATCTATATTCCTCGCTTATAAAATTAAATTAGAAGAATTCAAAAGAATATTATAGCCTCATAAAACACTTGAAAAAATAACAAAAAGTCGAAGATACGCATAAACTATAAAAAAAAAACACCTAGCACTTTAAAATGAAATAAAAGAAGACAGCAAAAATAATTAAAAAGATCGAAGAATTTGAAGTGGTCGATAATCAAATGAATTCTTTGATTTAAAATATATTTGCTAACAATGTGACGACTAGTAGCACTTATAAAGTCAAAATAGTGTACCTTAAATAAGTTCTAGGGATATGTGTATATTGCTCTGCAGTATTATTGTATTAGGTAAGCAAATATTATACAAGCGGACTTTTATTTACTAGTTCATGGCTATCAACCCGACTTTCGCATTTGTCTGGTTTAAATGTAGACGACAGAAGCTGGGATCCGTAGTTGCATTGGAATAGCGAAAGAAGTCTTCCTGAAACAAAGTATTAAAGTGTTTTTTTATAATCTTGTCATCCCACGAAAGGTGATAATATCTCGAAGTCGTAAAGGGTTACTGGGAATGAAAGAGGATGGGAAAACTTTAGGGATGAGAAAAAAAACAATAAAAAAACAGCGTTCAGGAAGCCAGAAGATGGCGATTGACGTAGCATTTACATTTGTAAAGATTGTACGTAGTAGGAAACTAGAAGGGAGTTACACGGGTGAGAAGTGCGAGAAATGAATCTATTAGTATAGAAGATACGGTTGAATGTAGCTGGTTCAACAATAAAAAGATGAGACTTAGTAGCCAATAGAGTAACACGCTTTAATTCATGTAGTCGAGACATCAACGAGGAAAGCTCTTCAGAGCAGTTGCCATGAAAATATTTGCCGAAAAGATAGAGGAAAGCCACGTCACATCGTTATGAAAGTGACTAAAATCAAGATGGCGGGTCAGGACTGATGACTTTACAGAACTTTCTTTTTTTTTGATTTTGTCAAGAATCTCGAAATTTATAGTAACAACACGTGAACTTCTTTATGATCGTGAATACTGGACAATTTCCTTAAAGATGGGCAATATACTAGGTTTGGTTTGCTTTAAAGCCAGAAAATAAATTTAGATTCTAAGAATTTTTTTTGAGATAATAATGGTTTAGTGATAGACTAGGTGGATTCCTGACTAATCAAAATTTGGTTTGGTTTGGTTTGGTTAGGTTTCTTTTACGGCATATCAACCTCAATGCCGACAAGATATTTATTCCTAGTAATATTTCTTTATCTATCTATCTATCTATCTATCTCAGTATATGTTGGTTTGTTTTACGGCATATCAACCTCAATGGGTTATTTAATGCCGACAAGATTTTTATTCCTGGTAATATTTTTTTATCTATCTATCTATCTATCTATCTATCTATCTATCTATCTATCTATCTATCTATCTCAGTATATGTTGGTTTGTTTTATGGCATATCAACCACAATGGGTTATTTAATGACGACTAAATTTTTATTGCTGGTAATATTTTTCCAAAATGTATTGCGACAATTTCCCCCCACCCAAAAAAAGAAAAGAAAAATGATTTGCAGGTAATTTTTTTTTTTTTTTTTGAAAAATGTCTTGCTGTCATTGAAAATCTTCAAGTAATATGATTTCTGTTTTTTTTTTTGTTTTTTATACAGTTCTTTGTTTGTTTCTGGTAATATTTTTTCAAAAATGTATTGCTGCTAATGTTTTTTTCAAAAACGCATTCCTGGTAATATTTTTCCCCAAAAAAATATTGTTGGTAATAATGTATTGATGGTAATGACATTTTCAAAAATTCATTACTGGTAATAATTTTTACAAAAATTTATTGCTCATAGTAAAATCTATTTTTATACTTTCATAGTGTTTTGACCCCAGTTTCAAGGGTTAACTGTTTGCCCATAGATGGGACCCTAACAGGTGCTACACTCCGGGTCAGGGTGAACCTGGGAACATCAGCAACTAAGAGGTGATTCCATGCTCCTCAAAAACTGCCTAGCCTAGCATTTGGATGTAGTTTATCGTCTTACCCAAGACGCGGATGTAATTTATCGTCATACCCAGGATACCCAGAGGTCTTGCTGTTGGATGTAGTTTATCGTCTTACCCGGGACGTGGATGTAGTTTATTGTTTTACCCAGGACGTGGATGTAGTTTATCGTCATACGCAGGATGCCCAGAGGTCTTGCTGTTGGATGTAGTTTATCGTCTTACCCAGGACGTATTTCCATAGATTAGAATAGTCCAAATTTTTTTTCAAACATAGAGCTCTTGCCCAAGAAATGCTCCCGTATCAACGCTTCTCCGATCACTTCAATCTCAACCCCTCTTAAACTCAATGGGTAATTATTCTCGCAATCTTCATTTCCTAGTATCTCCTCAGAAATTCGTACCACACACGTTATTTAGTAATGCTGTTACTTGATTGGCTCTCGTGCCTTGTATTAGTTGAACTTAAATAAAAAAAGCGTCTCATTGAAGGAAAGCAAGCGGTTCATGTGAAACAAACAAAAGCAAGGAAGATGATGTGCGTCTCAAATGAAATAATCTATACTTTTTTTTTTGGCTTATCAATCTTTATTTATAAATAAAGGTTGATAAGCCACAGAAAATTGAAAGCAAAGCTGGTTGTTTAAAACCAGAAAATATTTTTAGATCTTAACATTTTTTTTTGAAGAAAATAATGTTTTACTGATACAAGTTTTACTAATTAACCCATAGCTGGGGGAGAAGATGTTGGCTGGCTGTGGTTGGCTTGTTGATTCGTTTCCTACCGATTATCAACTTTTTTTTCAGGTTGTTTAAAGCCAGAAAAGAAGAATTTAAGAATATGTTTTTGGAGGTAATAATTGTTTAATGATACAAGGCTTACTAATTAACCTATAGCTGGGGGGAAAAGAGGTATGTTTCATACTTTTACCAAGGGTATTTTAAACATAACGAACTCAACAGGAATTGGAACACGGCTCTCCGATTAACAATTCTTAGCCATTATCCATTACACCACACGCTTGTACAATCTTACAGCACCTAGTTTTCCTAAGCGGTCACCCATCTAGATACTAACCAGGCTCGATGTTGCTTCACTTCGATGATCATACGGAAACCGGCGCTTCAACGTGTTGACAAACTTGATCTTGAGGAAAAGGGAAAAAAAAATCAACCAGATTGGTTGGGTAGGAAGATTGCTCTATTACGACATTGTTCATCCAGGGGACTCGTATTTTGGATGTGGAAGCCCTCAAGGGATCTGCGAAGAATAACGTGAGATTCCTTCCAGGCGGGCATGGAGACGGGGCGGAGAAGAATAGGAAAACGCTTTAGACTTGGAAGAGGCTTAAATTTGAAGGGGGAAACTTGTAATTTTTGTGATTTCAGCCCTTTCTGACATACCTCTTAATTTGATGTTATAACAACACTCAGATTGTATTACGTTCTACAGCTGTAAACAAATGCGATTCAAAAAAAAAAAAAAAAGAATAAAAAAAAAAATACAAAAACATTTGCCTCCAACGACCTTTCTAGCAACATTTATTGTTGGTTAAGCAGTCACTGAACTTTAAGTCATATTTCGAAGCCAATTCTTAAGCTTCATTGTAACGTTCAATAAATCTTTTGTCCTTTATCGAAATTATTGTCTAATTCATTGCCTGCAGAGACGCCATATATATAATATGGACTGTTTATTGTGAGTTGGTTGTGACTGGGAACGAAAACCTGTCTGGTCTTTTTTAAACAATGTTTTAAGTTTATAAATGCTAACATTGTTCCATTCAAATATTCGATGCATTTTCTTTTAAATTTTTTCCCGTTTTGTAAAAAAAGAAATAAAATCGAAATATTTATTGCTTAAGTCGTTTTTCCAAAATATCTAATTGCTTTTGTCTCACAATATCGCCACAAAGTTATACACGCGCACGTGTGTATCTGAATTTAAGTGTATAAGCATGTCATTTATTGAGTTTATTTTGAGAAAAGACAATTAGGGACCCAATAGAAGACATAGTAAAATATCTGCTTTGTTATATAAGAATAATAAAGCACATCTTACACGACTGGAGATATATAAGAAAATATACATGTAGGCAAATAGAGAGACAAAGAATATCTATTTATCTATCTATTTCATTTTGTTCAGAACGATCTATCTATCTATCTATCTCATTATATTCAGAACGATCTATCTATCTATCCTTCTCATTTTTTCAGAACCATCTATCTATCTGATTTTGTTCAGAATGATCTATCTATCTATCTACCTATCTATCTATCTATTTCATTTTGTTCAGAACGATCTATCTATCTATCTATCTATCTATCTATCTATCTATCTATCTATCTATCTATCTCATTATATTCAGAACGATCTATCTATCTATCTATCTATCTATCTATCTATCTATCTATCTATCTATCCTTCTCATTTTTTCAGAACCATCTATCTATCTCATTTTGTTCAGAATGATCTATCTATCTATCTATCTAGCTAGCTAGCTAGCTATCCTCATTTTTTCAGAACGATCTCTCTCTCTCTCCCTCTCTCTATCTATCTATCTCATTTTGTCCAGAATGATCTATCTATCTATCTATCTATCTATCTATCTATCTATCTATCTATCTATCTATCTATCTAATCACACTCGCTTTATATCTATCTATCTATAATCCATGAGAGATGACAGTAAACAAAACTAGTCCCATTTAACTACCGTAGAAACTTTTTTGCGACTTGAAGTGGAGTGACTACATCGAATCAATAGCTGCATCTACTGCAAGGAAAGTTGGGTCACTGTGCCGTGCCAGAAGGTGTTTCTTTTCAGAATCCATTTTGCCTATTTACAAATCTACCATTCGTCCGTCCGTTGAAGACTGTTACCATATCTTGTCTGGTGCTTCTGCTATTCATCTCGGGTTTCTTGAGAAGATTCAAAGAAGGATCTGGAATGTGATATATTCTGACTTGGCATCTCGACTTCAGTCACATTCTCACCAACGCAGCGTGATTTCTCTTTGTCTTTTCTAAAATATTTTCACGAAATCTGCTCTGACTAGGTTTCTTCCATGCTCTCCCGACTACATGAATATAAGCGTGTTGCAAGATTAGCAGTTATATAATCATTAATCTTTTTAAAAAATTATAAGATTAACCCTAACATCTCAAAATATCAAATTTGTCTGGACTTATAAATTAAGTTTCTAAAAAGTTATTCTTAGCATCACTGGATAATGGAATGGAACTTTGTATTTTAAATTTAATTTTTATGATTGAATTTAAATTGAAGTTTCAGTTTTTAAACCTGGGAATTTCGGTGTTGTGATGATAATATATTTTAAAAAAAACAATTATAATATGCTCTACTGTTACATCTAGCACTGTTTTTTAAAAATGAAAATAAATGCTAAAAATTCTTAATTATAAATCTCAAGCAAAAGATCACTGATGTCATAGGCACATTGATGAGGCTATGCTTCAGCGAACATGGTAAGAAATCGAGTACTGACTTGATGTGATTCGTGTAACTAATGGAGCCCATATAGAGATGGATTAAATTAGTTAAAAAGAACTTCAATAACTGTTCTTGATTTTGTAACAATTTTCGCATTTATATTTGGAATATTTTTTAAATTGCAAAGAGACTTTATGTACACTATGCATATATATATATATATATATATATATATATATATATATATATATATATATATATATGATAGTAGGGTGTAAAGAGAGGCTGAAAAACACCAGCGCATAATAGAAATAAACACTAAAAAATGATCAATACAAAAACCCAAGATAGAAAATGCAGAGCAAAAAACATTTACGAAAGCACTAAAGCAGTCTACCTTGCTACCCAGGTTTCGACCGCAAGGTGTCTTCAGGCAAATTGAAGGATCCTTCTACTCGGGTAGCAAGATAGATTGCTTTTAAGTGTTTTATATATATATATATATATATATATATATATATATATATATAATATTAGTGGTCAATATATATGTATGTACACACACACACATATATATATATATATATATATATATATATATATATATATATATATATATATTATATATTTAAGAGAATAAAATTAGATCTCTATGTACCATTAACAGAGCAAGAATATAACATAGAACGCTCAAACACTAATACATTAAAATTTGTAGGTCTGATGAATTAGATCGAGATTACTATTCCAATGTAATAAATAATAACCATGGAATATTACTGTTTGAGCCTTATATATATATATATATATATATATATATATATATATATATGATAATATAAGTGGTCAATACACACAAACATATATATTGATAATATAAGTGGTCAATATATATATATATATTGATAATATAAGTGGTCAATATATATATATATATATATATATAAACACACACACACATATATATATATATATTGTTAATATAAATTGGTCAATATATATATATATATATATACACATATATGTATATCTAAATATATTGAGAATATAAGTGGTCAATATATATATATATATATATTGATAATATAAGGTCAATATATATATATATAAACACACACACAAATATATATATTGTTAATATAAGTTTGTCAATATATATATATATATACACACACATATATGTATATCTAAATATATTGATAATATATGGTCAATATATATATACATATATATATATATATAAATATATACACATACATATATATATATGCATTGTTGCATGATATGTAGTAAAGATAAAGTATTATTTGCCTAAAAGTTGAGCATACATATATTATTTACATATACATACATATAGCATTTACATACAGCACATATTTACATATACATACATATAGCATTTACATATAGCCCATATTTACATATACATACATATAGAATTTACATACGAAATGGAAGAAAACAACATTTTACCCCCTCCTAAATATCTTCGTACACCAGTTGAGACCAGCTCGTCAATCAGCTACAAATACATTTCTATTCCTTTCATACTAACAAAATCCGTGGCAATCATCGTATTCTACGCCAGAGCCCTCAGTATTTGGTGTCTTCTGTATTTACACGAAGAGGAGAAAGCTCCTTCAACACTATAACTATTTCATATCCAATGGAAAACAAAAGCCTCGTAAAATATTTCTAAAATAGAAAAGAGGCTCTCCTCCACCCGGCAAACTCACCGAATCAAAAACATATCTAAAAATTACAAGTGAAAATAATTTATCTAAACTCAACCTAATATTTGTCACAACCACATCTAAATGATTCATTAAAATCGAGCTATTGTGGTTAATTATGTGTTTCAATTTTTAACTAGGCGGGCCCCATCCTCTGCAATCACTTCAAGCAGAACAACACCTGTATCATGAACAAAAAATAACGGACATCTTTGTGGCCATATTTATTACAACGTTTCGGCCCTTCAGTATCTGTCTATATTTCTGAGATGAGGTATTATGTACACTATTTACATTATTCGGACTATTGTTCTCATCTTTGATGTCATATTAATTACAGCGTTTCGGCCCTTGTACGCTCCGGCCTTCCTCAGGTGGTTGGAATGTCGAGATGAACTCTTTATTTCGCTCACTGGGGTAGACTGTTCTAATTCCACGTGCCATGTTTAATGGATGTCAGTTGTCACTTATCATCTGTTAATTCCCCTCTGAAAGTTTTCCACTGGAGTGCCTGACAACATCAGAAAGGAAACAGGACAGTTGGAAACTGTTGTGGATTCCGCGATGAAATCCGGTCTCAAATGAATGACAAACGCAGGAATGAAATATAGCAAATAAATGTATTGACGTAATAATACAATTGGTAATACGGTTAGTAGGTCCAGAAATGCGGTTAGTAGCAATAATAATATAGGCTTGGAAATTCAGTGTCGAAATATGACTTCCTTCCGAGTCTACGTGCTCGCAACTGTGACTCCTACAAAGCGGTTACCTCACACTCTCACTCTCTCACTGTATTACTGTCAGTCCGACTTCCGGGCAGTACAAGTACACACTGGGCGAGTCCACTTGTATGAAAATGGGTGGATCCCATAACAGAAACAATCACCGTCAAGAAGAGAAAGTCAAAGCACTATTGACATGTCGTAATTGTTTATTTTATCACAGTCCTAGATTAGCAACAAGGTCACATCAATTTACAGTTGAATTGGCTAGATGTAACCTTAAGTTGTGTGCTAACATTATCTTTTCTCACACTTCTCACTTGTGGAACTATTTTCCTGTTCTATGCTTTCCATTTAACTTTAATCTTCAAAAAATTAAATGTAATGTCAATCGTTATCTTCTGTCGCCTTTATTCTTTTATTGTTCTTCTCCCTTAATAAAGGTTTTTCTCATATTCTTTAACATTCAGTAACCCCTTGCGTCCTAGTGGCTTTATTGCCTTTAATCTTCAAAAATTTAAATTAATGTCAATCGTTATTTGCTGACCTCCTGAGTTTTCTTCTATTGCTCTTGCTCCTTAGTAATGTTCCCACTTTGTAATTCTTACGCACCCAGTAACCCCTTGTGTCTTAGTGGCTTTACTGCCTTGCTTGGGGTAGATCCGTTCAAAAAGTGTTATTTGTGGCTCCATTTTTCTTAAGACACTTTTCATTTAATCACCATGGAGAACTTTTTCTGCTTGCCATCAGCATCATTGACGATAAACCCCATGGAGAGCAACTCTCTATGCCACGGGCTTACGTTTTCTACTGACATGAAGTAGAGTGACTGTATCAAATCAAATGCTGCATCTATTGCTAGGAAAGTTGACTCACTGTGTTGACCAAGAAATTTTCTCTCGGGCATTTCTAAATTTGCCATTCGTTCTTTCCTTAAATATTTCTGCTATACCTAGTTTGGTGTTCCTGATGTATACTTCGAGATTCTTGCCATAATTCAAAAAAGTGTCGGTGATGTTGTCGATGCTTACCTGGCATCTCGACTACAGTCATTTTCTTACAGACGTGACGTGGTTTGGCTCTGTATTTTCTAGAAATACTTTCAAGTCGACTGCTCTGATGAACATTTTTTCTTAGTGCTTTGACTGTATGGATGCAAGCTTGCTACTAGATTGGTTTGGTTTGGTTTGTTTTACGGCATATTAACCTCAATGGGTTATTTAATGCTGACAAAATTTTTATTGCTGGTAATGTATTTCTTCAAAAATCTATTTCTGGGAATATTTTTTCTTGAAGGAATCTATAGCTGGTCATATTTTTTCAAAGAATGTAGAACTGTTTGTATTGCTGGTATTTTTTTTAAAGTATTGCTGATAATAATTTTTCCGTCAAAAATTATTTCTGGAAATAATTTTTTTATTATATAGTATTTCTGATATTAAATCTTATTTTTACACAAGTTTGGGTGTTAACTATTTGTACATAGCTTGGACCCTAACAGGTGCTACCACACCGGGTAAGGGTAAACTTGGAAACACCAGCAATTAAAGAGGTGCTTCCACGCTCCTCAAAACCTCCTGATCAGAGGCCTTGCTGTTAGACGTAGTTTATCTTCTTACCCAGAACGCGGATGTAGTTTATCGTCATACCAAGGACGACTAATAGATTGGCAACCAGGTCTTACCGTTTTAGTGTGTAACTAAAAAGATGAAATTAAAATAATTTTTTTCTTGCACTTCCAATCTGAGGGACTCCCTTCC